TTAATTTCTAATTCAGTATATATCAATAGCTATAACCCACTTAAACAAAGGCTCTTTGAAGTCTTCAGTAATTTTAAAGGGGTTTTGAGATGAAAAAAATTTGAGAATTGCTATTCAAATGGAATAAATGCTTATTGTAATTAATCAGTATATAGTACAGTTATGATATTTATATGTATATTCCAACTCCTGCTTAGAATAATTCAAGACTGCCTAATAGATATTGGTCAGTCCAACTTTTTTTTATTTATTAAACTGTTTATTATGCCTTTATAATTAAGTCAAATCAAATTATCCTAGAATGTCAGTACTGCTATAATAACAAAAAGCTGACTTTGCCCAATTCTCTGGTGTTTGGTTATTATTCTAAATACTAATCTAAAATAAGTTTGACTCTTGTTGTTGTTGTTGTTGTTGTTGTTGTTCAGTTGTGTATATGGGCTTTGTACACTTTGTTTTTTTTAAGTATTTGAATGTCTAATCCCATGGAAATGTCTGTTGAAGTATAGAATTCATTAGTAATATATAATTCCCCTACTTGACAAGTAGGAATCAAACATCAGAAAAATATACCTTGAATTCATCACCTGTTTTGAAACTAATAGCAATGAGCTTGTAATATTTGGAGTAGGATGTCCTAATCAGATCTGGTTCTTAGATGATAACATCATAGTCATAGGGATGTTCTTTGCCAAAGTTTACAAGAGGAATAGTCATACTGAAAATAGTTAATCCAGCCTTATTTAAATTTTATCTGACACAAAAAAGTAGCACATTTATCTTGCCAAAAAAGCAACTTCCATTCAGTAATAAAGGGCTTAGCTATAGAGCTATTGCATTTTGCCTGGTTTATTTGACATGAACAAGTTTGGTAATATTAAAAAACACAGACACTTAAAATTAGTCAGGGAATACCATTAAGTGAGATTCCCATGCTCAGAAAATCTGTGATCCTTATTGCAGGGGAGGGAGCATGTCTGATGGGTATCTGGGAGAAGAGTGTTCCAGGCAGAGGGAATAGCAAGCGCAAAGGCCTAAAAGTAGGACCTTGCCTACAGTGTGGTTGACTTGGGCCTTAAGTGTATTGTTATGGTTTTGTTTTGCTATGTAAATAACAAGAGGTAAAAGAAATCAGGAAATGTAGAAGGGGGCTGGGAGAATCACCCATAATCTTTGTACCCAGAGATAACTAACTACTGTTACCATCTTGATCTCTGTACTTTCCAATTTAAACTTAAGATGTCACTTAGCATCTGTATTAGTTTACTAGGGTTGCATAGCAAAATACCAGACTGGATAGCTTAAACAACAGATAGAAATTTATTTGCTCAGAGGTCTGGAGCCTAGAAGTGAAAAAAATCAGTGTCAGCAGGCTTGGCTGCTTCAGAGGCCTCTCCCATTGGTTTGCAGATGGCTGCCTTCTCACTGTGTCCTCATCACATGGTCTTTACTCCCGCAAGGGTGCATCCCTGGTGTCTCTTTGTGTGTCTGAATTTCTTCTTATAAGGACATCAGTCCAGTTGGATTAGGGCCCACCCTAATGGTCTCACTTTAACTTAATCAGCTCTTTAAAAGCTATGTTTCCAAATATAGGCACATTCTCAGGTGCTGGGAGTTAGGACTTAAACATGAATTTGAGAGGACGCAGTTCAGCTCATGACACCATCTATGAACAGGTACCTCAGATATGTATCAGTCTTCCTAGTAGTATGACTCTGTGCTCCTTGAGTATTCATTTTTATTAGTTTAGGTTTATAAATTAACCAGCAGTAATGCACAGTGATTTCCTAACCCAAATTAGTTAGGATTATTACAGATTTAGATTTAACTCTTTCTGAACAAAAGATGTTGTGTTCTCTGGCATTTGCTTATAATGTCACAAACATCCTTCAGTTTTGTGTTTGCTGGAGACTTGATCCACAATAGTTAAATAATCCAGTTGGCTCTTCTGTGGATGAAAAATGAGTGTTTCCCAAATAAGCCATTCAAGTATGCTTTCAGGTTTTGTTTTTTTGTTTTTTTATCCCTCCCCCCCCTTTATTGATTTTAGAGGGAGGGGGAGAGAAACATCGATTGGCCGCCTCCTACATGCTTTCCACTGGAGATAGGGCCCACAACCAGAGTGTGTGTCCTGACTGGGAATTGAACCGGCAACCACTTGGTGCATGGGTCAGTGTTCAATCACTGAGCCATACCGGCCAGACTGTTTTCAGGTTTTTGCTGTGCTATTTGATATTTTTCTTCAATCAGCTGTCTTCTTTGTTTACTTTATTTTCAAAGGAAAAATTTACCATCAGCATAAATGGGAAGTTAGTATAGTATTACCTGGCTCAGCAGTTAGAGCATGGTCCTTGGACCAAAGGGTCGCGGGTTCAATTTCCGGTCAAGGGCATGTACCTGGGTTGCAGGTTTGATCCCTGGCCTCGGTTGGGATTGTGCAGCAGGCAACCAATCAATGTGACTCTCTCACATTGATGTTTCTCTCTCTCTCTCTCTCCTCTTTCTCTCTCTCTTCCCCTTCCTCTCTCCCTCCTTTCCACTCTCTCTGAAAATCAATGGAAAAATATTCTCACCTGAGGAAATTTTTTCCATTGATTTTTAGAGAGAGTGGACAGGGAGTGGAGGGGCAGGCACATCCCAGGTACATGCCCTTGACTGGGAATCAAACCCGCACCCTTCGGTGCTTGGGCTGACGCTCTGATCACTGAGCACCCCAGCTAGAGCTAAATATGTTATTCTTAAAAATAAGTACATGAGGCCCTAGCCGGTTTGGTTCAGCGGTTAGAGTGTTGGCCTGCGGTCCTGAGAGACCCGGGTTCGGTTCCCGCTAAGGGCGCGTACATCGGTTGCAGTTTGTCCCCGGCCCTGGTTGGTTGTGCGGGTGGCAGCCACTCGATGTGTTCCTTTCACATCAATGTTTCTCTCTCTCTCTCTGTTCCTCTCTCTCCCTCCCACTCTACCTGAACAAAAAATGGAAAAATGTCCTCGGGTGAGGATAAAAAAAATAAATAAATAAGTACATGAGCCCTGGCTGGTTTGGCTCAGCGGTTAGAGCATAGGCCTGCAGTCCAAAGAGACTCGGGTTGGTTCTCGCTAAGGGCATGTGCCTTGGTTGCAGTTTGTCCCCGGCCCTGATTGGGTCATGCGGGTGGCGGCCACTCTATGTGTTCCTTTCACGTCAATGTTTCTCTCTCTCTCTCTTCCTCTCTCTCCCTCCCTCTCTATCTGAACAAAAAATGAAAAGATGTCCTTGAGTGAAGATAAAAAAATAAGTACATGACCTGAAGCAGGTGTTCACCCATGTGCCACCTAAAATCATCTAATCTGTTGCTCAAACCAAAAACCTAGGAGCCATAGTTGACTCCTTTCTCTCATGCTTCGTAGACAATCAGACAGCAAACCGTATCAGCTTAGACCTCTAAATATCTAGAATTGTGCTACTTCTTACCGCCTTCACTGAAACCCCTAGCTGTTTCTACCCTAGCTCCCTTTACTGTGTTCTTCACACAGTAATCAGAGGGATCCTATTTAAAAAACAAGTCAGATCCTGTTACTCCTGTTTAGAACTCTGGTGGCTTTTTTATGTCACTCAGTAATGGTGGGAGTTCCTAATTTCCGACTGCAGATAAATTGGCATCTTTGCTTTTCTTTGACAATGTGGCAAAGTCCTTCTTCAGGGCTTTCACACTTGCCTGTTTCCTCTGCCTGGAAGACTTCCCCCAGCTATCCATAAGTCAAGCTCCCCCATCTTCAGATCTTCAGTTATGACTCCGGATTGCAGTAAGACTTTCCTTGATCACCCTATTTAAAAGTATAACTCTTTATATGCACAAGCAATGGATATAGACCTTAGGTTGGGGAAAGCAGGAGGGGGGTGGGAGCTAGAAGGAGGGGGTCAGTAGGAAAAAAGGGGGACATCTGTAATACTTTCAACAATAAAAAATAAAAATTATAACTCCTCTCATTACTTTCTGCTCCAGAAACCACCATCTGTCATGCTACATAATTTACATACTTATTTTGTCAGTTATATGTGTCCCACTAGAGTGTAAGCTCCATGAGGTCAAGCATTTTTGTTTTGTTCGCTGCTTATTCCCTAGTGCCTAGAAAAGTATCTGATATATAGTAGATGCTCAGATATTTATTCAAATTGAATTAATAGTAGCACACATCCTACACTTTGGGAAATACTGAGATATACTGGGAACACCTTCCACAGCCTTGAATCCCTCCTGTGGGTCTTTGTTCAGTCATATGTTGAGCTACTTGCCTCTGAGAGTCTAGCCAGTTGGGGACTCAGCTTTTAAGGCAAAGAAGGCTCGTAACTTGCCTGGATCCTGAGTTTTATCCAGAGGAAATAGTCCAAATGCTAGGGAAAGAGGTGGGGAGGAGGGAGAGGTAGGCAGGACTCGGGAGAGCAACCCTGGGAGAATTCCTTTATGCCCTATGCCACCGCTTCATGCCCTCTTTAGCCCAAGTGCCTAGGCTCGTTCTGGAAGACACCCAGGACCCACTCAAGCTTCAGCCTGAACTTGGGAGTAGTAGCTGGAACCTGTGAGGTGTGTTTGTGTACTTGCTTTCATGAGCTACTTGTCAGGGATTTTTGGAAACAAGTATCAGAGAACTGCCTACCCTCTTTTATTTAGCTTTGTCTTTTAACAGAGAAACTATAATTTAATTGAAAATGTTATCCTTGGTGCCTTCCAGTTGACTCTTAGTTGATCAAGAGGACATTATTGTAATTTGATATGGCCAGGACAACTCTTCCTCTCAAGGTAGTTTGAGAGTCATTGCAGCAAATGAGCACATTCTTCACCTCAGAAACTGGTAATAAGAACAAAACAAAAGAAATTGCTTCTTTTCTTCCAAGGCACTTTTGTTAGCACTTTGTTGATGGTTTTTATTTCAAACTAATGGACCCAAATCAATCAACATTTCTACTTGTAAGCCCTTTATGAAGTTTGCCAAAGCCATGGGGATGGGGTGGGGTGTCTTTTTAGGTTTGGGCGTCTAGCCCTGATTCGGTCATCACTTCACCTGAAACAAAACCATATGCCCCTTCCTTTTGGTTGTGCTGGTTAATTACAAATAGATTGGAAAGCAGCAAATTGGAGGTACAACAACTTTCAGCATCATTTGCATGTCAGCATCTTCATTCCCAGGTAGTGATAATGAGCAACTAACTCTAGGCTTACACGTTTCCCTGGAGTTGCTAGTATCTTGAATTTCTTTCCATTTATTTTAGGAGTAAAAGTCCCTCGCAATTTTCGACTGTTGGAAGAACTCGAAGAAGGCCAGAAAGGAGTAGGAGATGGCACAGTTAGCTGGGGTCTAGAAGATGACGAAGACATGACACTTACAAGATGGACAGGGATGATAATTGGGCCTCCAAGAGTAAGCGTCGAGCTACGGCTATAAATGTCAATGTCTTAAATTCACTGTGCCTCCTTTTAAAAAAAGTATTAGCCTTATCACAGAAAAAGCTCACCAATGGTATATTTTCTGAAATGTGGCTATTCTTTTTTTGACGAGTTTCAGTTTATATATTTGAACCTCTGATGCTGTTTAATCCCTCTATGGTAAGCAAAAACCTGTTTAGACTCATAGTGTGGTTTTATTCATTGTTCCCCAGTTCCCATATGCACCTATATCCTAATTTTTGGGGACCATTCATTGAAGGGTTATTGCCTCCCTGGTCAGCTCTGGTCTGTTCCAGGCACTGTTAGGCTCAGAGACCTTTGCAAAGAAGACAGTGACAGTGGAAAGTGACCTCTCTTTTAAAGCTTTGTGATTTGTGAGAGTTCCCAGTCTTCATAATGCCAGCTAACCATTTTTTATAACACATAGTAAACCGCTCAGAAATATAATTTAATTCTCACAAGAACTTGTTGTTAGGTACTATAAACTATTGTCTAGTTGCATTCTGTTTTATAGATGAGGAAACAGACTCAGAGAAGTAAAGTTACTTGCCCGAAGTCACATGGCTGATAATTCCCAAACCAGGTCTGACTCCAGACCCTGTGCTCTTAACCACTATGCTACATTGTGTCCCTCCTGTTTATATTTTGTTTTCCTCTGTCCCCATTATAGAATTTTCCAGTGTTAAGTAGTAATGTGATGTAGGAGTGAAGAGAGAGATTCCCATAATGTGATACATTTTTCAGACAAGCAGTAGGAGATTCTGCCTGAATGCAGGTGGGCCTTTCCTGTGTCCACTTGTGCGTAAGGATGATGATCTTCATTCTTTTCTCTGTATGCAAGGCTCTGCACCACTTCTGTAGGAGATAGAAAGCCACATGGAACATGCCCTCAACTGAAACCAGGAAGTGTTATGCTCATAAAGTGTTAGGACAGTCTAATGTTGATCTTAGACTGTGGTAAACACTCATGACAAATGACTGGCTTTGCCTTTTACTGTTACTTCTTGAGTCATTTTTGTAACACTAGTTTTGTTTCGGGTTTTTTAAAAAATATATTCAATCTGCTCTTACTAATTTCTTGATCATTTTTTAAACCTATGAAATCCAGGATTTTCGGAATCTGTTGAATACTGGGGGAAACCTAATCTAGAAAGCTCATTTCTTCATGGAGATCATTTTTCTTGCTGTCTCTGAAAGTCCATTGTGTGGTGATGGTTTCCTTCACTGCATTTCATCTCTTTCTAAGAGTGGTTTCGATTTCTTGAGGATGAGAACTATTGTTCCATACTCCTTACTATCCAGAGCACCTGGAAGTGACAACTTAAGAATGGGCTAGTTGTTCAATAGATTTATTAATCAACAGAACCGTTTCCAGGTACTAACAACTTAATAATGAACCAGTGCACAACATTGAATACACTAAATACCACTGGATTATACACATAAACAAATGAACAAGTGAAATGAACCACTAAGTTCTGTTGAAAATATTCTGTTCTACCTAAAACACTTCAGATCACCTTGAGTTTCAGAGTATCTCTTTAAAAAGAAGCTAGCTTTTCATGAAATAACTTAAGTATGCAAAATGCTTTCCATACATCCTTTAAAAAAATAAATAACAGCTTTGAGATATAATTCATATACCATAAAATTCACTTACCGTAGAATACACCTTTAAAATACACACTTACGTGGTTTTTATTATACTCAAAACTGTGCAACTATCACTAATTTCCAAACATTTTCATTACCCCAGAAATAAACCCCATTCCTTTTGGTAGTCATTTCCATACTACCCCCCCCCTTTACATTCACTAATTTACTTTTTATCTCTATGAATTTGCCTGTTCTGCACATTTCATATAAATGGAACCATATAACATGTGGTCTTTTGTGACTTTTTTACTTAGTATAATGTTTTCAAAGTTCATCCATGCAATAGCACTTACATTTTTATGACTGAATAATATTCCATTATGGATATACCATATTTGTTTATCCATTAATTAGTTGATGTACATTTGGATTTTTTCCACTTTTTGCCTATTATGAAAAAAGCTGCTGTAAACATTTATGTACAGGTTTTTGTGTGGATGGGTGTTTTAGATTCTCGTGGGTGTATATACATAGGATGGAATTGTTGGTAACTCTGTGTTTAACATTTTAAAGAATTGCTCAAACTGTTTTTCAAAGTGGCTCCACCATTTTATATCCCCACCAGCAATGCAACAGAGTTTCAATTTCTCTGCATCCTCACCAATACTTGTTATTGTCTGTCTTTTTACCACTATAGTTTTGATTGTCCTGGCTCCCCGAGGTTAAAAGCAAAGTCATAAAAGGAACTGTCTGCTTCTAGGTGCCTCCTATGACCAATCTGTTTTAAGATTAGCATACAAGTTATATGCCAGTATTAAAGCATCTAAATAGAGCACTTGAGTTACTCATTTCCCTATTATATTTTTGTTATTGTATTATTCAAAAGAAAATCCATCAAAAATTTTTAAATGTATTTTTTTCTTTATTGATTTTTAGAGGGGTGGGGAGGGAGAGTTAGAAACATAGATGAGAGAGAACATCAGTTGGCCACTTCCTGCATGCCCCACACTGGGGATTGAGCCCACAACCTGGGCGTGTGACCTGACCAGGAATCGAACCAGTGACCTCTTGGTGCATGGGTCGACACTCAACCACTGAGCCAGCCCTGGCCAGTGTGGCTCAGTTAGTTGGGCAATGTCCTGAGCACCAAAAGGTTCCTGGTTCAATTCTCAGTCAGGGCACATGCCTGGGTTGTGGTCTCGATCCCCATGAGGTGGCCTGCAGGAGGTAGCTAATCGATGTTTTACTCTCACATCAGTGTTTCTCTCTCTCCCCTTCCCCGCTTTCTGTCTCTTTAAAAATCAATTTACAAATATTTGTTTAGTCCTGGCTGGTTTGGCTCAGCAGTTCAAGCATCGGCCCACAGACCAAAGAGTCTCAGGTTCGATTCCAGTCAAGGGCACGTACCTTGGTTACAGTTTGGTCCCTGGCCCTGGTCCAGTTGTGCAGGAGGCAACCAGTCGATGTGTCTCTTTTACATTAATGTTTCTCTCTCTCTCTCCCTCCCTCCCTCCCACTCTATCTGAAGATAAATGGAAAAATATCCTCAGGTGAGGATTTAAAAAAATAAAAGAAAAAAAATTATTTAAAAAAAGATGTATAGCCCTGGCCGATTTGGCTCAGTGGTTAGAGCATCAGCCTGCAGACCAGACAGTCCCGGGTTTAGTTCCTGCTAAGAGCATGTACCTTGGTTGCAATTTGTCCCCGGTCCTGGTTGGGGTCATGTGGGTGGCAACCATTCCATGTGTCTCTCTCACATCAATGTTTTTCTCTCTCTCCCTCCCTCTCGGCCTCCCACTCTTTCTGAAGATAAATACAAAAATGCCCTCGGGTGAGGATAAATAAAAATAGAAAAATAAAAAAAGATATATACCCACATGATCCAGCAATTCTGCTAAAAATTTACTCAGCTCTTCTTGAATATATTGTCCACAAAATAATTTCATGCAGTGTTTTCAATAGTGGCAAAATATTGGAAACTGCCTCGGGGTCTTTCAATTGACCATATTACTTACTGTTTAGCTCTTCAAATGAATGAAACAAGTTTGTGTGTGCTGCAAATGGGATGATCTCTGTGATGTTTAAATGAAAAAAAGTGAGATGCAAAGCAGTATACAGAATAAGCTGCCATGTGGGATGGAGGGCCACGGTGGGAGAAGAAAAGGTCATACGTAATACTTGTGCTCTTGTGTACTTAGAATACTTTTGGAAGAACATAAAAGAAATTGGTAACAATGGTTGCCTTCTTCAGAAGGGATCTGGCTGGCTGGACCCAGGGTGTAAAAGAGACTTACCATATATCTTTTTGTACTCTTTGAGTATGCTTTAATTATATGTGTGTGTTAGCTGTTTGAGTGCTTTTTTTTGGGGGGGGGGGGTGGTAAGGAAAGCAAGTTCTCCGAACCTAAACCCATCCAAGTGCCCTTTGTAAAATTCAGGAAAATGTCCAACTGTTACAGCATTAGATGTGTGGAGTATTTCTATTCTGGCCACAGAGGTGCTAACAGTAGCCAGGTTAAAGAGCAGGGTTTCTCAGCCTCAGCAGTGACATACTGGACTGGGTCATCCTTTGTTGTGGAGCTGTCTTGTACATTGTGGGATGTTTAGCAGTATCCCTGGTCTCTACTCAATATATGCCAGTTGTGACATACTCTGTTGTGACAACAATAAATGTCTCCAGATGTTGTCTAATTCCCCTCACTATGGGGCAGTGGGGGCAGAAATTGTCTTGGTTGAGAAGCGCTATTATGGCTCTGGGGTTCTGCAGATAGTGTTTTATGTGTGCAATAGAGCCTGGGCATGTGTTTATACACACACTTATCTAAAAGTACTGTGTGTGTGCTTAAGAACGTGATAATTACAGGAGTATATGAAGTAAAAGGAAAATGATCTTCCCCCATTTCAGAATATTTCCCACAGAATAAAAACTAGTCAGTTGTGTGGTGTGTTTCTTCTGGCTGTTGCTGTAGGTACACAAACAAATACATATCCTTTTAAATACAAGTGAGACCTGGCTATGCATAACGTTTTGCAACTTTTTTTTTCACTTAACAGATGATGGACATCTTTCAACATCAGTGCATATTGACCTCTCTTTTTTAAAAGCTTTAAGTTACATGTATAAATATATTCTCAAAAAAAATTTTTTTTTAGTTTAAAATATTTCAAATGAAAAAACTTCATTATTATTTTAGATGATTTGTTACCAAGCTCCTAGGTGTGTACATGTATAAAACAAAAAGATTATTACTGCCCTGGCTGGTTTGGCTCAGCGGTTAGAGCGTTGGCCTGCGGACCAGAGAGTCCCGGGTTCGGTTTCTGCTAAGGGCACGTACCTCGGTTGCAATTTGTCCCCGGCCCCAGGTTGGGGTCATGTGG